GCGGAGAGAGAGAGTGAAGAAGGAGATGATTTGGGTTAGGGCTGAAGTTTGTGAATGGGTCTGGATATAGGTTTAGTTTGTTTTTAAACTTATTTATTTTGACCTAATCAAGTGAAAGGGCTTCAAATTGGGTTGACTAGGACCCGCATATATTTCTAGCTAGCTAGTTATTCTCAGTTATAATGAAAGGGAAAAAATAGTTTTTTTTTAATCAAAATCATTAACCCCATTTAACTATTGGAGTCTTAGTTTAATTTCTAAAATATTAGGAGAAGTCCGAGTAATAAAACTAAATGTCAAGGGGGTATCCATAAAATTTACCCAATTTACTAAAGAAGAGAAGAGTGAATCTTGGTATTTTTTTGACCCTTTATTCCATCATATTTTGGAGCCCTTTTTTGACCCACCATTTGGGCTGGCCTTGTACTCATGATCTCTATACTTTAATACCATATTGAATTATTAACTATTCTAAAAATTGAAGTTAATAAAAAGAGATTTAACATAAATATTTATCGATTAATTATCATATAGAAAATTCCGATAAGGTTTCCAATAGTATCTCGTGTTTTCTAGGTCTAACCCACAAAGCGGCCTCCCGCAAACGCCAGACACCTCATGTTTTGACCAGATTGTCTATGTTCATTGATAATTCACGGCTAAAACCATCTTCTAGGGGCTGTTTGTTTTGAGTATTAGATTTGGGTTGTATTAGAAATCATTTCTATTTCATTCTTATTCAATGGTATATTATACTCAGTCTTAAACTATAATCTCATCATTCCCCTTATTTGTTTGTCACAAACATTATCTGTGCAATACCTATTTAAAAAAGTCAACAATTGCAACTATGGGTGGTAAAAAGATAATTATAACCTTGTAACCTTAAAAAGACAATTGTACATGACGGCATTTGTGTCATTTTAGTCTCTTATACCATCCTTTCATTTGTACCGGAAAGATAATACCACCTAGTAGGTAGTATTCAATAGCACCGTATACAAGGCATTTAAGTCCCTGTTCATGCTAGGTCGGTATTATGACCCGAAAAATAGTACTAATGATAAAATGACAAACAAACAAGGTATAAGGTGGGTCCTACATACTATTTCCCTAATACCACCCATTTGTACCACTCTAATACTTCAAACAAACAGCCCCTAGAAGTACTAAGGTAGACAAAAGTGGTTGGGATTGTTCCCAGATTTGATCCAAATTCTCATGTTTCTAAGCCATTTGCAAGCCTTTCGCACCCAGCTTCACATTGGGATTGCAACACATTGTTGTTGGACTAAATATTGGGTGTAATGATTACATTGGGATTGAATGTATCATTTGTGCTGGCCCCAAACCAAAGAGAAAAGGACTAGGCCAAACATCTAGCCCAAAACACTAAGCCCACCCATATAAAGTTTGGGCCCACCATCTACCACGCATTTCCTACCACCGACAGCATCGGTAATACTTTCTCTCTCTTGGTTAACACAAACAACTAGGGATGTCAATGGACCGAAGCGGGGGTGGGGGGTATAGTCTTCATCTTCGTACCCACTTAAAAAAATTTCATCCATCTCTAGTCCACCCCCACTAACAGGTATAATTTTCATCATCATCCCCGTCCAAGGGTAAATTTATAATCCCCGTCCCCGTCCCCATCCCCGCTTCTCCCATACCCGCCCAAGCCCAAGCCTAAGTCTAAGCCCAAGTTCAAGTTCAAGTCAACATAATCCAAAATTCTAAAGATTAAAAATAATTTAATTTTTTTTTTTTTGCTATGATCAAGAATAGAAGAGGTAACAATATAAAAAGTGTGGCAAATAATAACTCTAACTAAAGATCTCTAAATCCAATAAACATCCTAATGTTTTACTAAATCCAATGCTCCGACAACACTAAAGAAACACATCAGGAGCAACATTGACAACGAAACAGTAGCACCTCTAACATAATCACAACAACAAAATAGCCCTAGAAAAATAGCACCAGAAGCAACCCCAAAACAGCACCAGAAATAGCCTAGAAACAGCCCTAGAAACACCACCAAAATGCACATTAAACCAACCCAGGGCTGCTGCCCTATTTCTTTTGTTTATCTGTTTCCCTTCTACAATACATGACAAAACTAAGGCTGCCAGATAGTCACACCCCTTTTAAATTAACCATCTTGTGTTCTCTCCAACCTTGTTACTACAAATCATTGCATTGTCACACATCTTATTCTATCCTTTGACCTGTCTCTAAAATCTAAATCTAGAATTGGGAAAGGAGAATTAAAACTATTCTTTAATCTAAATTCTAAAAGCAACAATGCAATTGTCATATGAGACTGAAGTAACAGGAGCACAAAGGAGGTCTCAGTTGAAAAAATGTGGCAGTGACTCGATGCATCAAAAGATAAATACCTCACTATGAACAAGAAATGGATCACAAGATGATATCAAGGAAGCACAAACATTATAATTTTGAGTCACGAAACTAACTAGCAGAGAATCAAAACAAAGGGTTTTAATTAAGAGTATATATATATATATATATATATATATATATAACGGGTAACGGGGACGGGATGGGCGTAAGGATAAGTCCATCTCCGCCTTCATCCCCGCACATGTTTATACAGGTATTTTTGTATACGTCCACCGTTCAATACGTACAGTCCATCCCCGGTCCAAACGGGACTGATTTGGACGAAAACCCGTTTTTTCCTAGTCCACTGTCATCCCTACAAACAACAACTCAGTGCGATGCACATGTCTACACACACTCAATTACCTTGGAGATAGCATTTTGAGATATTAGTCGTAACTCATGCTTGAAGGAATGATGAAACAATAAGATTCGAGCGTTCAAAAAATTGATCTCATTATACTAAATAACAAATTTTTATTTCTTCGTTTCTTTCATTACATTATTTAAAATTAATTTTTACCTATTATTTTTTTAAAATAGCATCCAAATTTTCTCAATTTTATAAAAATAGCATTCAAATTTTCTCAAAATGTATAACTCGACAAAATGCTTTCAACACGTTTACACTCATGTATGGATAATGTATAAAAATTATGTTGACTTATATATTAATTAAATATTAAATGATTGAACATGTGATAGAATTAAATGATGTGATGTTTTTAGGGGAAAAAATGTATAAGAGATAAACTTTCAAACTCCTATGTGCTTTATTATATATACTAAGACTAACCCGTGCCTGAAGGCATGGTGTGATGTAAACAAACCGATTAATTTGAAAAAAAAAATACTTTAAATTGGTTTAATTAAAGGAATTAAAATCAATATAGACAGGTTAACATTTTTTGGCAATTACTATTTCGACAAAGATTGCTCTAACAATAGGAGCCCAAGAAATTCGCAATTTGTCTACAAAAGTCAAAACTTTTTAAATTCACAGTTCACAATCAGACATAACAATAATCAGAGTTCACAATTAAAATTCTCCCAAAAATCACATTTTGAATCCATCAAACTTTGGCAACCATCAATTCTAATGAAAATAAGCCAATCACACATGTGTTTAGTTCACTTTACTAAACTCAATTCACACAACAAACACGTAAAGAGAAAATCAAGACAAACAACCAACAACCGAAGATATTTTGTAACCCACAGAAATCCAATTAATTTAATGTAGGTTATTCTTTATTTCATTTAATTAAAGGAAATACAATCAATGTAGTAAAAAAAAAATTAGGTCATATAAATCAATCAATCTACTAATAACCCCATATTTTTTCAAAATTTTGGCATAGTTTATTTTGAAAATAAGAGACCATGAAAATATGAACATGTATGCAAATCTGAAAAATGAATGAAACAACCAAAACAACAAGCAATATCACGTCAAGCCAAACTTATCTGCATAAACGTTTATTTAGTTTATCATATTAAATAGAAAATAAACAAAAATCCATGCAAATACGATTAATTTGATACAAGTTAGTATTTATATCATTTAATTAAAGAAAGTTAAATCACTCTAATAATAACCTGCTATTTTTGTAAAATTTTGGCACAATTTCCTTTTAAAATAAGAGATCATGAAAATGCCTACCTATATAAATAACTGAAAACAAACATTACAATCCCAAAAAATCAAACGATCCATACACAACAACCCATGCCCAAAGGCACGACGCAACCGCAGTTGCACATCACAATTTGAAATTGAGTTGGTGCCTCATTTGAAAATGCACAATATAAATTTCGAACGCATAGAAGTTTTATGTATACCTGAGTGCACGATGCAATTTTAGTAACAATTTACAAGCGTATTTAGACTACACATAATATATCCACCATATTATATGTTTACCAAAATAATACATCCAAAAAACATAGTTTTTTATCAGTTGTAGAGTAGACAACTCCATAATAATCAAAGCTGTGAGGGCATGAACACCGCGGGCCAGTGGAGACAAAGACTTGTGACTTCATTCAATTGAACTTTGGGGACGACATTTGCGATTACCACCTCAAACCCATAATGTAACTTAGAGAACTAAAACCCACCAAATGAAACACGCATAAAAAAAATGCATGAAATGATAACTCGTTCCTAAAGGCACTATGAAATTTAAAAAAATTGAATATTGATCAAAAAAAAAAATGCAAGCACTGAATATGGATGGTTCAAATTACGTAATGTAGTAGGGGGTAGGTTGCGTAGAGGGGTAGGAGTGGGGGTTTGTATGTGTGTGTGTGTGTGTGTGTGAGAGAGAGAGAGAGAGAGAGAGAGAGAAGCATTTATATTAAAAAAAATGACTAAAACAAAAAATTCTTATCTGTATGTCAGAAATGGCCCAAATAAACAAAAAGAGTTGAAATTTAGATTTATAAAACCATTTTTGTAAACATATTTGAAAACTCAGTTGTTGTAAACACACCTAAAATGCCTAAGAAGCCCTAGTCAAAAACATCATTGAAGAACACAAACACAGTGAGTCAAAGGTCTTTTGTGATTTTAATGTGTTAATCCCAAACAATTACCTTATGTTGATGTCCACCTTGTTCTTTCCAATTGTCCGACCTTCTACAACTGCAACCACCTCACCTCCCTGGGACTTTGTTTGTGTTGTTGTTGTCAGTAAGATACCACCTCTAGTCTTCTCCTCTGTTGTCTTAATCTTGACCAACACTCTGTCACCCAGGGGGTTAAGTGAAGTGTACTACAATTGGAACAACACAACAAATGACCAGAATATGTAAATGAATCACATAAAAATAAGACAAATACAATTCTCCTCAAATGTAATGTATTGGCAAAGTGAATCAAATAAATGAAACAATCCCATATGATAAAGTCTAAGAGCGTGTGTCAAAAATAGGAACTAATTCTACCTAATAAAGTCTCATGTAACACTTAAAAGAGAAATAGGTCAAAGAGCCTCTATTATTACAGGAGGAGTGTTTGAAACAGCAAGTCCAGTGGACCAAAAACTTCTACAAATTCACTGAATAAATGACATGTACTTAAGGCGACCAACACCATAACAAGTAGGAATAAAAATAAAATGTTACATATGAGCAGAAAATAGAAGTCCTTAATCCTAATAAGTTGCATAAAATGGGGTAATGAGCCAAACAAAAAAAGATAAAGACCATGAAATCAAATTTAAAAAGTGGGGGTTGATAAAAGATATATCATCCCTACAATTGTCAGAAAAATAGACCTCAACATAAACAATAACAAAACACAAATAAACTTGGAAAAATAATCATTTTTCAAAAATTTGTGTGATGAATCTAAGCTAAATGTTTTGCATATGTTTTAAAAAATTTGTGTGATGCATTGTGGAAGTGATTAAGGAAAGAGGTGTTTGTATTTTTTTTTATAGATGAATCTAAGCTAAAATGAAGAGTGTGTCAATCAATATAAGTAAAATTAACACTTGACACCGAAGTTTGAAATTTGAAGTGATAGTATGAGAACACAGAAAGTGCTTTCAAATTTCAATACCTTTTAAACATTTCGACAGATGAAGTGCCTAAAACATCTTGAAGCCAATATCCAGATCTCATTAGAGACACATAAATTACTACACACACATATAATTGTAAGAGAACAGTCATGGGACCAACATTTAAGCCAAAAAAAATTTAATTTTAACTCACACTATACTCTTGGACGACCCTGATTAAAAATTTTGATCTACTCCTTCACAACCCAGTTCAAAAGTTCAAACTACATATAAACTCCATAAATTTGAAACGGTGCTATATTTAACTCCTCGAGATCATACTTGAATTGAAAACCATCTTAACCAAGTAAGGTAAATTGGTGACAACAACAACAATTTCAGTTTCTTCTAAATCGATTCGTTGCCCTTAAAATAATAGGAACCATTCAAAGTGATTCTACGATACAAAAGTAGTTCCAATAATCAATCCTAATCAATTACCCAAGAACAACTTGCATACCAAATAACACTAACAAATTATGCATTACAAAAGCAAACATTAATTCAACCAACCTGTCTCACAGTACATCAATTTCTCTGTGTAAATGCTATCCCCATTGCTCACCTTAAACTGGTGTGACCCAATCTATAGAAACCATAAAAACCATATTACGCACACACAAACTTCATTTCAATGAATTCACAAAACAATGCACGTATCCCATTACTCAAATTTAATAGAATCACATTCATGAAATCCGTTTGTGTTTTTTTTCTCCATCAGAATCTCCTCTCGAATTGTCTTTTTGAATTTAATTCTCAAAAGCCCTAATCATGACCAATATGCACACCGATGAAAATCACACATGTGAAAACATAGAAAGATCAATTGCACACAAAGTATTTGTAGATGCATCGAACAGACACAAGTACACATCATATTGCACACAAAGTATTGGACACATAAAATTGAAAAATTAAGAAGAAACAAATAAACGACATCCAGATTGCTTTAGTGAATCAAAGGTCTCTGATAATGCCGATTTTCATTGATGTCTTGCTTTCTTTAGATGGCGAAGAAAAGCTCGAAGAAAATGATATGGTTGCTGTGATAGTGGTGTGGGGCTGTGGTGATGGCAGACCAGAGAGAGAGGGAGACCTGTGAAAGAGTGCTGAAGGAGTTTAGGTCATCGTTGCTAGAGTGGGGTTGGCGTGGTGGTGGGGGGAAAAGATAAAGGGGTGGTGGCTGTGATAGTGGTGTGGGGCTATGGTGATGGCACATCGTCGTTGCCAGAGTAGGTCTGTTAGTGGGTCTCCATAGTGGGTTGGCATGGTGATAAAGGGAGAGGATGAAGGTGTGGTGGCTGTAATAATGGTGTGGGGGGTTGTGGTGATGGCAGATTGTGGGTAGAGAGAGAGAGACCGGGGAGGGGGTGATGGAGGAGAGAGAGAAGACTTAGCAGAGAAAGAGGCGTCTGACATTGAGTGAGGGTGAGAGAGAAAATTAGATGGGATGGAATTTAAATTCAAAATATTAAGGGATAAAATGTTAATTTCTTCACCGTTAGATGAATGAATTTAAGATTGTATGATCAACTTGTTGAAGCCGCCCTATTTTATATTATAGATAACAAATGTGAAAACTCGGTTGTAAAACTTTAAATAAATAATTAATAATGTAAATTAGTACAAAATAAATATATTTGTAAGATATTGATAATTACGTTAACACCAACATTTTTCAAAAATATAAAATAGTTAGTTTAATTTTTTTATGAATGATCGTAAACAATCTTTTTTTTTTTTTACAGTTTTGTTCCTTGTAGAAACTATGTATAATAGTTTTTGTTTCTTTTATGTTTAATGAATTGTTTTAGTATAAAATATGATATCTTACTATAAAACAATCCAATTAGGTATGAGAGGCCTTGAGAAGGCTTTTCTCCCTAAATGCTAATTTACTAGAATTTTAAAATATTTAATTAGCTCACTACAATCAAAACATTACAGGTGTCCTTCGTAACCACTCCCACCATTTTTTAAACTATTTAAAATTTAAACTTTCAATCATCTCTCTTAATTATTTAATATATAGAAGAATCTCATTTTAATATTAATAGAAATTATCCAGAGATATTATGGTAACAAAGGGTTTGGTAGTAAGGTGATAATAGGAATAGACAATAAATTCCGTGCAGCGCAAGGGGTGCCTACTAGTAATTAATGAGTTTATCATCTTAATTTCATTGATTAGGAAAAAAAATTAAATGTCCACCTGAGGAATTTTTTCTAGTTCCGCCCTTGCTCCTTCTTGAATTCACAATAAATGATCCATCAAGAAGATAAATATAGAAAAAATGTATTTGAAGAGAATTCATTCCATTGTATATAAATGAACCATTCATTAATAAATGATGGATGATCTAGTAAGGAGAAAATTAATTTGGTTTAAATTCAAAATAGTAATTTGACAATTAATTATAACAATTATGATTGAGTTTGTGTAATTAGATAATTAATAAATGAAGTTAAATTAATATGATGATTAATTGCTCAAATTTTTAATAATTAAATTATTTACTGAATAAGGATTTAATTATCTTATTAAAATTATTCTTGGGTAATATTGTGTGTTTTTTGATCGGAGGGTAATATTGTGTTGAAAACAATAGACTTGTAATAGAAAGGGCATTTCGGGAGATGTTTATTTTTTTTTTTTTTTTTTGAAATTTGTCATTAGCTCCATTAACATTTTTCGAACGCAGAAGATCTGACCATTACAAGTTTCAAAGGTTGAAGAGTCTCATGTAATTTGTGAAATATGAGAAAAATTTTATGTAATTTTTGTCAAATGTCAAGAACTCCCAGTAATTTATCCTAAAAGTATTATTAAACTATATACTACAGATTTTTCCCTTTGAATTATGAAATTTTACCCTAAATAACCCTGGAGCAATTTGCGAGTATAAGAATATGTGCGGGGAAAATTTGGCACAAAAAGTCACCACCTCGTACGGATGGAAATGAAGGTGAGAAAACTTTGAATAACCTATAAGACAACAGAAAATTTAAGTGAACCGATGTTCGAAGACAACTAAAGAGACACTAATACTTAAGCTAGATCACAAGTCGAAGAAGAGTATAGAGTAAATAGGTTAAAATTGAATGTTTTTACCTTGTACCCAGAGACCTTTATCTATATCAACCTCATCACCAACCCCTCAACGTTCATAATAGTATTAAATTATGACTATTACCCCTTGGTGCCTTATCACCAACTCTTTGTATCCGAAATAATATTCTACTAGAACTTTTATTCTTAAGTTGAACGGTATTTGAATAGGACGCATCTAAGGTAGATACGCAAGCAGACTGGGTTCGGGTTATCTGCCTGCCAGGCGGCTGGCACTTGGGCATTGGGTAAGCTAGTAGTCGGCTAAATGCCTTGTAGAGCGTCCCCCACAGAATCCATGCATAACATGTGATGTGATCATTGGTGCAAACATTCACAAAATACAGGGGTCATTAGAAATGTCATAGGTTTTTTTTTTTAGACGTGTCCAGATTAGTATTGATTTTTTTGAGTTTAATAATTGTCACCGTGATTTGAGCTCAAGTAACAAAAGTGATTGATCTTTAATGCTCCGTTTAGTAGAAATGATGGAAAGTAAGAAGGATAGAAAGTAGAAGGGATACACTTTCTATCCTTAAGGATGAAAAGTATGAATAATACATTTTCCTTCCTTTGTATTTGGTTAGATGAATAGAAAATAAAAATGACTAAATTTTTTTTATGTCGGCTAAAATTAGAGTCGATAATCGAAGTCGTGTCGTGTTGAGTCATAAAATTATGAGCCTTTTATATTTCTTGTTCACGTGTCAGGTCATTTTCGAATTCGTGTCGAGCTATAATTAAATTCATGTCATATAATTCGTGTCGAGTTCGAGTCATGTCATCGTGTTGAGTTTAAAATTTTCACCTCTAAAATAAAAAAAATATTTTTTAATTTATAATTTTATTTTAAAATTTATTTTAATATATATATTTATCATTACATTTTTATATGAAATTAATGTGTACATAATATATAGACAAATAAGATACATCTCAACACAAATAATTAACTTTCCATTCACTTTCCGTCCGATTTTGGAGGGATTGATTTTAGTGAGCTGGAAGAAAAGTTAATTCATATATTTTTTCATCATTCCTATTTTTCTCCCTTACCAAACATAATGTTTTATTTATTTTTCCAACTTTCTATCCTTCCATTTTTCTATCATATCAAATGGAACATAATGTTCCGTTTGGTAAAAGAATGAAAAGTAAGAAGGATGAAAAATATGAATGATACATTTTCTTTCCTTTTTATTTGGTTGGATGGATGGAAAATAAAAATATTTAATATTTTTTTAAAAAAAAATTTTGTGATGGCTAAGATTAAAGTTGACAATCAAGTCGTGTCGTGTCAGATTCATATTGAGTCAGAAAATTATGAATTTTTTATATTTCTTGTTCGCGTGTGAGGTCATTTTTAATTTCTTGTTGAATTATAATCAAGTTCGTGTCATAAAATTTGTGTCGAGTTTGAGTCGTGTCATCGTGTTGAGTCAAAAATTTTCACTCCTAATTAAGATGAAAAAAATATTTTTTTAATTTAATTTTTTTATTTTTTTTTAAAAAAATATATATATATACACACACACATATTTTATCATTATATTTTTATATGAAATTAATTTATACATAATATATATAGACAAATAAGATACATTTCAGTACAAATAATTAATTTTTCATCCGTTTTTCTTCCGATTTTGAAAGAATTGATTTTTGTGAGTTAAAAGGAAAATTAATACATCTACTTTTCCATTCTTCTACTTTTTTTTTTTACTAAATATGATATTTTATCTATTTCTCCAACTTTTCATCCTTCTATTTTTTTATCGTACCAAACAGAGCATAAGGGATATAAAAAAAAATTGAACTTAAGACTTCTAAATTACTAAAAATTAAATACAACCACTAAACTACCCTTAAAAATTATAAATGTCATAGATTGATGCACGAACTTGGAAATTTTTAGAAGGACAAGTGTTATTAACTTAGGATCCGGACCCACTTGCAACGTAGACTCCTTTGGCAGCATAAAAAACTTAGGTCCCGCTCATTTAGGCAGCTGCTTAGGGTTGCTATCAAAAAGCGACCCATGTTTCTTAGTCATTAAGAATATACAATAGTCAGTAACGGTGATCTCACGTTGCTGCTGCTACGTGTTATCACAATTCGTTAAAAAATTAATAATAAATGAACAAGTGAATCTTTTTTTTTTTTATACTGCATAACTAATGATATTACATAAATGGATAGTTATTAAATATTGTGAGGTTCACTTGTTTATTTGTTATTTTTTTATTAGAGAGTAATTTTAAGCATAGATGTAAATGATTTTGAGAGGATAAAATTCAATGTAAATAGTTTTGAGAGAAATGTTGGTGACAATTAGATAAGTCTATTTGAAACCGTCGGATGGGCTTAGCATGTCTTGTTTTATATTATAGACTAGGGGTAACCGTGTTTGAAGGACACGATGTCATGTGAATAATTTTAATTGAAATGTTAGTGATCATTAGATGAGTCAATTTGAAATCGTCGAATAAACTTATTGAAATCAGTCTTATTTTATATATATATTTCTCATATGTTATGTTATTTACTGCTTCATCTCATTATCTCACCATTATACATAACTTATTCACTTGATGGTAACAGTTTTCTACATATGCTAGTTACATAATTATTGCTATATATCCTAATTAATTTAGCATTTTCTTATTGATCACTTGAGATCCACTTATTTAAAATATATAGAGTGGAGGCTATTCACATAAGGTGCGCTTACAAATTGATGACGAGAGTTTGAAAAAAATATTATCTTAATCTTGAATTTTTTTTTTCTAAAAACATGCTCAATTTTTTGATACTAGCAATAACCTCTTTCTAAAGATGCTTTACCATACTAAAAATAAAAAAAATGATCGTATAATATTTTAAATTTATTTGTATTTCTTTTTAATCATGTAATTTAAAATTAAATTAACAAAAAAAAATAAAAAAGAGGTAGGGGAGAGAGAAAAGAGGTATTAATGTGGATTGGTGGGGTTATTTGGTATTGAGGGTCATGCAATAAAATTAATGTTTTTAAGCTGAAAAAAAAATTGGGATGAATTTTGTACAATTCGATCAAAATAGATAAAAATTATATTAATCTTGATCATTGTTGTGTTTTTATAAATTGAAAAATCAACTTTCTAACTATAATATTAGATAGATTAGTTAACTGAATTTATTTTTATAACTAAAAGTTTGAAGAGAAGCTTTGTAAACTAAACTAACACTTCAATCTAAACATTAAGCTATTTACCAAAAAAAAAAAAAACTAAACATTAAACATTATTAACTAAATAAAAGTACTTATTTTTTTCTCTTTCCAAATAGTTGCTTTGATAGAAAAAAAAATAAGTTTCACAAAATTAGGACTATGAAAATTCTACTCGTCGCAATCAACTATACTATAAGAAAACTCAAATATATTAGTCAAATTATCCACCGAAAATGATACATTAGTAAATTTTGGATAGTTTAATCAGCATTTTATATCTCAAAACCCAAAAAAAAAAAAATTGATTTCTAAATAAACTTATAGTTACGTTACTTGTGTAGGTATATTAAGTTCTAAAAATGCCATATTCAAAAATTTTTGCCTAGAACATCAACTCAATGGTGGGAGACATAATAGAAAGGTACAATATTTTGAGATGTATTAGCCACAATAAAGAGTTCCCAAATTATTATATTATTTCACGTTAAGATTAACATGTTATTGATCTCTATCCACTAATTTATTGAAATTTTAAATTCCTTCCCCTTTTTTTTTTCTTTGTCAACCATAAGCATGTGCATGTGACATTTTTTAAAAAATAGAAGGTTTGGAATCTCTATATTAAATTTATTTGGTCCCGATTAGATAATAACCTATAGTTATTGATGGGGCCGGTCTAGATCAAATCTAAAATTACAAGCTCAGCTCAAATACTTATTTGAAAAATAAAGACTAGGCCTAAAATTGTAGACAAGACTCACTTCAAGCGTACATGTCAAACCTATCACAGGATGTGAGAAGTTTGGTCAGGTCAATCACATTATGATGAGAGATTCAATCCATAACTGATACATGAGAAGATCTCTTTGGGACGCACACCTCATCCCCTCTGTAGAACTACCTCGTTTGTTATGAGAATGACTCCATTTTCTATGGAATTACCTCGTCTGTTATAAGAAATATGCCTATAGATTATAAGTCTTACCTACACAAGAGGGGCATCTCTCACATATCACTTATATCTGAACACTTTATGTACTTTGAGAAATAAAACATTTAGGTCATCTTAGCACTTTTGATTAAACTACTTAAATTATATTTTGCTTGTGTTAACTCTCACTATTTATTATTGTATTTAATACTTGATAGGTGGTGCATAAATTCGTTTTGTGCATCATGAACTACCAACTATTATGACCCATTGTATTTAAAATTAAGGGGTTGAAATATATAAAAATAAATAAATTTTCAAAAATTATATGATAATCTAAACTCAAATTAAAATAACAAAAAACGAGTTGCTCATATTCCAAATTAGGGACTCATTGCAAGCGTGCCAACCTCTTGTAAAACAATTCAGGAATTTGGATATAGAGGGATCAATATCTGATTTAATTATTATTTAATTCAAATTATAAACATGTATATAAACAAATATCGAGATTCAATGATTATTTCATAAAATTAGGTTGAAATTAATATGTAATTTATTAAAATTTAACGGAAAAGAATCATTCAATCCGACTCAAATTTTTGAATTACATTTTGAATTTTTAACAAACTTGAATATGAACTGTAACAATGAAATGGGTATGATAAATCAATCAAAATCCGATTGGTTGATATGCTTGACGATAATAGAATAAGATATGTAGACCAAAATAGCATTTGCCTTTTTTAATTGTACATTGTAAAACATTTATGTATCATTTACATAGAAATAATTAATATAATAATTAAAGGAAGAGGCATCTTTTGGGTGTTGAATACTCTATCCGTTCTTAAATATTTGTCGTTTAAGATTTTTGTACATGGATTAAGAAAACTATTAAATAGCTCTAATATGAGTAAAAAATAATTGTGCAAGACTAAAATACCTTTATTCAATACGTATTGGGAAAAAAATGAATATGAAAGACACTTAACTTACAGTTAATCTATTAAACACTTATTGAAAAACATAGATAAGGGTAGATTTGAAAGAAAAAATATTCATTATGTTTTGATTTTATTAAACGATTGATATTGTGAAACAAAAAAATTTATGTAAAATGACAGATATTTAGAAAGAGAGAGAATAATATCAAATGCAATCAAAGAGAGAGAGAAAATATATATAAAAAAAACAAAAATGGCGTGTCTGCGGTCAAATTAAGACACCGAAGGGTTGTTTATATTTAATTCATGTAATGACATGTTCGAATCAATTTCCTTCTGGAAAGAAACAACCAATGGGAATAGAAATAGGACTAGACTCCCACAAATTCAAACAATTCTTACACTTAAACAAGAAAAATTCATTACCTGCATTTATATGTGTTTTGTTTGAATCCGTTTGATCCATAGTTTCTTTCTTCTAGAAACAACTGCCAATCAACTAGGAGACTTTTCTCTCTCTCTCTCTCTCTCTCTCTCTCAAAGAAGGCTTTTCTTTGGTTTCGATTTGTGTTTTCGGTTTTCACCTGTTGTCGCCATCCATTACGACTACTTCCCAATTTCTTGCAATTTTCGCCGGCCCTTACCTGTTCTCTTTCTCTCTCTACAAATGACTTTAGCCTTTGAATTTTCCGTGTTTCTATCTCTCCCCTCAGGTATATACAGATTTTCCAATCATCTCAGCGCTGGAGAAACGCAACCCAGAAGGAGAATCAGCTCAATCTCTCTCTCTTTAGAATCTCTTCTTGTTGTACACGCCAGTAAGTTCTGACAAAGCTTTAGCTCTTCACATTCATACTTGTTGGTAGCTGGGTTTTTTCCTACAAAACTGTAATAGAAGAACAAAAAAATCAAAGATTACACAGATTTTCCTTGTTTTTAAGGGTTCTGGGCTTGTTTGTTTCTTAGTTTTTGTTGCTTCTGTTGTGAGTTTTGGTGAATTTGGGTAAGATCAATATCTGGGTATCACATGAATTTGGTGAATATTGATTCTATGCTGCTCAAGAGGTCTCTGATCTTCAGATCATGGCCTCACAGCGGCCTCTTCTGATCCCTTCACCACGAATTCAAGGCACAGAAGATCTTCCTTATACACCTGTTTTCACTGATCTGTTAAAACCCATTTCTATCAACCCGAAACCCTCTTCCGGGATGGATTCAAGTATTCAAATAGAGAATTCTTCCGTCCCCGATTCATCGTCCCGGCGAAGTGTTTCCTCCATTCAGTCAAAGGCCTCGGGTGGGAGTTCTGTTAGAGAAGTGAGTTTTGCTGAGTTGGGATCAAAGCCGGTGAGGTATGGATCGAGGGGTGCGGATTCTGAAGGGTTTAGCATGTCCCAGAAAGAAATTACTGATGTGGATGCTAGGTTGGTTTATATAAATGATCCCGAGAAGACAAATGAGAGGTTTGAATTTGCCAAGAATTCCATTAAGACTGCGAAATATACTATCCTTACATTCCTGCCTCGGAATCTTTTTGAACAGTTTCATAGAGTTGCATACATATATTTCCTTGTGATTGCGGTCCTCAACCAGCTTCCACAGCTTGCTGTTTTTGGCCGGGGAGCTTCGATCTTGCCATTAGCATTTGTATTGTTAGTTACAGCAGTTAAGGATGTCTATGAGGACTGGAGGCGGCATAATTCAGACAGGATTGAGAACAATCGACTGGCATCAGTTATCGTAAATGGTCAGTTTCAACAGAAAAAATGGAAAGATATTCAAGTGGGTGAGATCATTAAAGTTTCTGCCAATGATACTCTTCCTTGTGATATGGTGCTGCTTTCAACGAGCGACCCCACTGGAGTTGCTTATGTGCAGACCATTAATTTGGATGGGGAATCCAATTTGAAGACACGGTATGCAAAGCAGGAGACCATTTCGAAACTTCCAGAGGAGGGGAAAATTAGTGGGTTGATCAAATGTGAGAAACCCAATAGGAACATATATGGGTTCCATGCATACATGGAGATTGATGGGAAGAGGGTGTCGCTTGGACCTTCCAATATCATTCTCCGTGGTTGTGAGCTCAAGAATACTGCTTGGGCACTTGGGGTTGCTGTATATGCTGGCAGGGAGACCAAAGCCATGCTCAACAACTCTGGAGCACCATCCAAGAGGAGCCGTCTTGAGACCTACATGAACCGGGAGATCATTCTCCTCTCTTTATTTCTTGTTGGATTGTGTATGGTAGTCTCTGTTTGTGCTGCTATTTGGTTGAGGCACAACCGGGATGAGTTAGATATCATCCCTTTTTACAGGAGAAAGGACTTCTCTGAAGACGAAGTGGGGAACTATAATTATTACGGATGGGGGTTGGAGATATTCTTCACTTTCCTTATGTCAGTTATTGTGTTCCAGATTATGATTCCTATTTCATTGTATATATCGATGGAGCTTGTTCGTGTTGGTCAGGCTTACTTTATGATTAGAGATACCCGAATGTATGATGAAGCCTCCAATTCAAGATTCCAGTGCAGGGCGTTAAATATAAATGAAGATTTGGGGCAAATAAAGTATGTGTTCTCTGACAAAACTGGCACTTTGACTGAGAACAAGATGGAATTTCAATGTGCAAGCATTTGGGGTATTGATTACAGCGGCAGGGATACCCGTATTCAAGACGAACAAGTTGAATACTCCATTCAAGGTGCTACACTGCTTCTTTTTCCCACTCTGTTTCTTGTCTTTCAAGTCCTTTTAGGAAACCAAATCTTCTGTACTTAAAATATATGTTTTGTTTTCCATAAGCTTAGCATTTCATTTTCTGTGTCTTATTTGCAGATGGGAAGGTTTTGAGACCAAAGATGAAGGTAAAGGTTGACCCGGAGCTTCTCCGACTATCAAAAAGTGGAAAGGATAGAATTGAACGCAAACATGTCCACGACTTTTTTCTTGCATTGGCTACTTGCAACACAATTGTGCCTCTTATTACAGAGACATCTGATCCTCATGTGAGATTGTTAGATTATCAAGGGGAGTCTCCAGATGAACAGGCATTAGTGTACGCTGCTGCTGCTTATGGTTTTATGCTAATAGAGCGAACATCTGGCCACATAGTTATTGATGTTGAAGGAGAAAGACAGAGGTAATTTGACGCTCTTTCTACGCCCTGTTTGAAACTTTTTTATTTCTATATGATTCTTAGGCTTCTGCTAGTACTATTATTTGGTCATAATTGCTAGGTGCTATTGTTGCTGTTCCTTTGTTTTCTTTGTTACAGGTTGTCTTGTTATGTGGGGTTGAAGGTCTATGTAAGGGGGTTTAGATTGACTGAGAAAATTTTACTTAGGAATTGTTCCATGATCCTTAGAAGTTTGTTACGCTCTGTTCATTTTTGAAGTAGAAAATACTAGTTTTTTAGAAGAATAATTCTTTAAATTCCCCAAAATGAATGATGATGACTTCTTCTTACTATTATGACCGCATGCTCCTATTTCTTTCATTTGATGCACCACGTAGCAGCTAAACATGAAGGTCGAGACTGGAAGGGGGAAGGAGAGGAAAGAGGTTTTAGAAACTTTTCTAGTATCTTTATTTTCTGCAGTTTCTTTTACATTTTGCATGAGGAATGAAGTTTTGCGTTGATGATGTACTTTTTTGGTGGCGACATTATAGAAATTGTTGCACCAATTTCTTGTTTTTCTCTCCTTTTTTTGAGAAAGAATTTTCTTTCTATGGAGGTGAGCATTGTAATTTATTTATTTTATTAAATCTCCATCATGGGCCGTGCAGGTTCAATGTTTTGGGTATGCATGAATTTGATAGTGACCGGAAGAGAATGTCAGTTATATTGGGGTGCCCTGACAAGACAGTAAAAATCTTTGTAAAAGGTGCTGACTCGTCCATGTTCAGTGTAATAGATAGATCACTGAACTTGAACATAGTGCAGGAAACTGAAGGCCATATTCACTCTTATTCCTCTATTGGCTTGAGAACCCTAGTTGTTGGAATGCGGGAATTGAGCGTCCCTGAATTTGAGCAATGGCAGTCTAATTATGAGACAGCAAGCAATGCTTTGATTGGAAGGGTGGCTTTACTTCGTAAGGTTGCTAACAGCATAGAGAGCAACCTCAGCATATTGGGTGCCTCTGGGATTGAAGATAAACTGCAGCATGGTGTACCAGAAGCAATTGAGTCTTTAAGAACGGCGGGAATTAAAGTGTGGGTTTTGACGGGTGACAAGCAACAAACTGCCATTTCAATTGGCTACTCATCTAAGCTTTTAACAAGCAAGATGACTCAGATTATCATAAACAACAACTCTAAGGAGTCATGTAGAAAGAGTCTAGAAGACGCCTTGATTATGTCTAAGAAGCTTACTGGCTCTGGTGCAACAAACATTACTGAAGGAAGTGCTGGAGCTGTTATTAGTCTGCTTGCTTTGATCATTGATGGAACAAGTCTTGTTTATATTCTGGACAGTGAGCTTGAAGAACAGGTAGTAAACCCAACACTCTCTCTCTCTCTCTCTCTCTCTCTCTCTCTCTCTCTCTCTCTCTCTCTCTCTCTTTTTCTCTCAATGTTGTGTTTTAGTCTACGATACCTAATCATTGTTTTTTTTTTTGCAGCTATTCGAATTGGCCAATAAATGTACAGTGGTACTGTGCTGTCGAGTGGCTCCATTGCAAAAAGCTGGAATTGTTGCTCTCATAAAGAACAGGACGGACGATATGACCCTTGCCATTGGGGATGGTAAGCACAAAACACCACCCTTGATTTGTTCTAGACTAATACTCACTATAAGAGCAATAACACTAATGCGGAAAGAAAAATAAATAAATAAATAAGAAGAAAGGAAGCAGAATCTGTCCTATCGGCTATCTCTTGGTGGTTCTTGTCTAATGAAAGAATTTTCGACTGGATGATTGCAGGTGCTAATGATGTTTCAATGATCCAAATGGCTGATGTGGGGATTGGCATCAGTGGCCAAGAGGGTCGGCAAGCTGTCATGGCATCAGATTTTTCTATGGGTCAGTTCAGATTCTTGGTTCCTCTTTTATTCGTCCATGGACATTGGAATTACCAACGGATGGGCTACATGATTCTATACAATTTTTATAGGAATGCAGTATTCGTTCTTGTCTTATTCTGGTGAGTGTACTTTTCAGATCCATTTCATAACTTTCCATTTACCCTAAGTTTTTAAGGCCTGTTGGGCATGACGTTTTGGACCTGGATTCATGGCTTTGCCCACTCCAAATAAGTCTTCACATTCGAGCTAATGTACAACATAGACACTGAAAAATATTAATAAAAAAATTGTCAAATTTATCCATGTTCCAACATGTACTTGTTAGGCCATGCCTTCTTTCAAAATATAACCTTTTGATATGTTTGTCCTTTTACTTGTTATTTTTTAATATTCTCCCATCACAAATTCTGGGAAACGTCATTGAATACATTGTTGCAAACATCATTGACATGAAACTTATTGCCTGGAAGCTGGCAACAGCAAGGTTGTTGGCTAACTTGCCTATGTATGTCAGCTGACATGTTCATATGTTCTTTCCAGGTATGCGCTTTTTACAGCTTTCACCTTGACAACTGCTATCACGGAATGGAGCAGTATGTTGTATTCAATAATCTACACTTCGTTGCCCACAATAGTTGTTGGTATTCTTGACAAGGATCTAAGTAGAATGACTCTAATGAAATACCCTCAGCTTTATGGGGCTGGACAAAGACAGGAATGCTACAATGGAAAATTGTTTTGGGTAGCAATGATGGACACTTTGTGGCAGAGTGTAGCCATCTTTTTTGTCCCCCTCCTTGCATATTGGGGAAGCAACATTGATGGTTCAAGCATGGGAGATCTTTGGACAATTGCAGTGGTGGTGGTAGTTAATATACACTTAGCTATGGATGTGATTCGGTGGACTTGGATTACTCATTCAGCCATTTGGGGATCTATAATAGCAACTTGCATTTGTGTAATTGCTATTGATTCTGTGCCTGAACTACCTGGCTACTGGTAAGGTCTCTTAGCTACTTAATGCTTAAACATCGGAATTGTTATTTAAGATGTGCATGTTTTTGTGTATACCTGCCCTTGTTAAAAATTATGACATATTAAAGCATCCAACTCAGGACCGATTAGCAATGACTAGAGAGTCCACAAGGCTCATATACTAGTCTAGGAGATATTATTTTATCAATGTGGGACACACTAATTCTTATTGGCACACTTGACCCATAATCGCACATGGAGGGATAGAAAAAGATCCAAAAGGTGGGTCGAAGATATAATATGGTGCACTTATGGCACAAATAAGAGGGAATTGATTATGAAACCAATGAAGTTAACATAGGGAGACTTGCCCAAAAGCTCCTAAAGTTCAGCCCTAATACTATGTCAAAGCACTATTCGTTATTTGTATACTTTAATATGCCTTCCTCTTGCGTGGGCCGGATTTTACACCAAGCACATGCAAATTTTGTAATTATCATGATGGCGGTGAGATTGACATACTAAATCCCATGCTCTACTATCACGCTACTGCATCTAGTATAAAACCAATTGGTATAGTGGGGATAACCACAATGGTTGTGTACTAGTTTAGGAAGTGTTATTGTATCGATGCGGGGCAAGTCGTAATAGTATAGTTATCGTGGTAAGTGAATGTTGCCACAATTATCTAGGTTTTCAGGCATATTAGAACACTTCACCGAGACTCCTCTTTTTGATAAAGTTTTGATCAGTTTGAATTGTCAAAAAATAAAGGAGTATGTATGTGCTAAAACGAGGTTATAAGAAAATAAAATGGAAAGAAAGGGAAAAGAAGAAAACATACAAACAGACACAACACAAGAAACTTACAAATTTACTCAATGCAGTATGACAATCCCCAGACAAAAATACATGGCAGGAGATTACATATTACAGAGAAAATTATCAAACCACATCCCAGAGTTTAGTTCATGGAAACTCAGTAAAATTATTGCCAAAATAAGTCCTCTTGGATATTACTTCAACATATTAAGTCCTCTTGAATGTTACTTCAAAATATTCTATCTAGAGTTACCTGCACAAGAACCATGATATTGCTCCATTCCAACATTCACACTGCCACTTTGATTTAAGTTTCTGCCTGTGGCCTATGTCTTTTGATTTATCAAATCAATTTCTCTTTTGACAATTGACAAATTGCTAAATTTCTACAATACCAAGTTGTTGATAACAAATTCAACATAAGGTCGTATTTTGTCAAATTTCTGCAAAACGCCTACGATCTTTTACTTGATAAAAGAGAAACTTTTACTTAGCGAAGTGCTGATTCTATTGTGAAAGGATGCCAGCACTTAGTACTATTATGCGGTTTAACATGATTAGTGGCCATTTATGGGTGCTTATCTAACTGCAAAATTAAAATACAATTACTACATGATATTTGTGTTCATGCATCCTATATTCTCAAGCCATTCTTTTGCATTGTAATCTCAGTAAATTTGATTCTTCTTACTTTTTATTGCTCTAGGAGCAATTTGCATGTTTACACTCACAGGAATTCAATTTATCTAAGCTGTCAATGCTATCTCTGCTTTTATTTGAGTTGTATTCTACACTTTAGTTGGAAATTTACTCAAGAAGGAATCTTACCTTGCTATCTAATAAATGCAAAAACAACTGATCCCAAATTCCTTATATTTTGCAGGGCCATCTTTCATCTTGTGAAGACCGGATTGTTTTGGTTGTGCTTGCTTGGCATTATAGTTGGAGGAATGATTCCTCACTTTGTTGTAAAAATTTTTGTTCAATACTATAGACCTTCTGATGTTCAGATTGCACGAGAAGCTGAGAAGTTTGGAAATTTAGGGGAGCTTGGTGGTGGAGAAATTGAAATGAATCCAATCTTTGATCCTCCCCGGAGATGACTAGGTGATTTTTGGTCCTTTAATCTTTTTATTTTTATTTTTTAAATTACATATTCTTTAGGCTGCTTTAGAGAATCTCTTTCTCTTGCCGGATTTTCATTGCTTGCTATCGAAGGATAGTAATTGTATCAATTAGGTTTGTAATTTACACTGTTGTATGCTCCATAAAGGTATTGATTGTACATTAGCATTGTGAAAACACACAATCCAAACAGTTGTGAAATGCAAATTTTCAATGAAAAAGATTTTAATTTGAGTTTATCATTGTCTTTGATGAGTTTCTGTTTAGTGGCAATGGATTTTGTTTTGTTCTGGGTTACTAGGTTTGATTTGGGTTATGTTCGTTTTGGTATGACATGAACCAGCAACCAAAAACTTGAATCTGGTACAGGCTGTGTTAGAAATGTCTTAACACCCGGAAAATGAAACATGAAAAAATTTCAATGAAATCTCACCAACTCGTTGGTATTTCTTCGCTCAATGAAGATTTGGGCGAATACAATTAAAACTTGCTCCAGTTATCGTAGGAAGATTCATTAGCAGTAGTGTCATCATGAGGAAGAACTGGTTCATGCACCAGTTCTCTTTTGTTGTTGCTTCTGTTCTGCTTGTTTTGAGAATTGGTAGTTAGCACTGGCAAGCTTATCAATAAGTTTTGAGTTTCAGACCTTCATTGTATTGCTTTTTGAACACCATAAGCTTAGCCCAAAGTAGAAATATTTTCCGTGTGTCCGGGCCGTTACGAAGGTGTTAAAGCCATTTACTCTCGTGGTGTGGAGGTCACATAGTCTGTGCATCTTTTCGTGCAACTTGGTCCAATGGGGCAGTGGCTTGGAATGGTAGTAGTTAGTGTGATGGGTGTCTTAACTTAAACTCCCACTTTCCTTGTGTCAGACAGGTCCCAAACGAAGAGACTGAGCTTAATAGGAGGATTGTGATGACACAATTTTACAGACTAGTGAAGTATATGTGAAGTGATTGACAAGTTTGAGCCTTAGACTTTTGTTTAACAATGTGTTTTAAATCCGTGCATAGCTAAATCAAAGCGGATAACATCATACAATCTAGGCTTGGGTTTATATGACTCAATCTGTAGCAGAAAAGGGTCTATATTCAATAGGGATTATTACCCCGCATCCTATAAGAGAGTGCCACATCATACTTTTCTTGGTGAAAGATTGTTTTGAAGCTTGTCCAATTTTTTATTATTAGAGCGATGGCGAGATTCAAACATAAAATTTCCTTCTCTAGCATAATATTAAACCATCATATATATATATATATATATATATATATATATATCAACAATCTGAAACCTAATTTTTGATACCTAACACATTACTTTCCTTTGTTTAGTAGTGGATCCCAACCAATATTGTTGGGGCCCAATGGAACTGCCAATGACAAAAAATGAATAGATGAGCATATTAAATTAGTAAATTAGATCCACACAATAATATTCTTTTTCATGAAAGCTTAGGGGGAAAAATGGTTGAATAACCAGCAATGCCACCCTTTTGGGGGAAGTGAAGAGAAAAGGATAATCGAAGTAAGAAAGCCATTAGCCCGGTTGGCCTAATCATTTAGGATTGTTAATTGAATTGAATTCATCAAGCTCTATGTTCAAATTAAACTTGGTTGTGATTGCTCGAGCTCGTCTGAGCGTAGACTTTTATCAAGCCTGTCTCGACAGAAGAGCTGAATTTGATCTTAGAAATTTTAATATATACTGTTAGTTCAAGTCTTCCATGATATTTCGTAGCCTCCTAAAAATCTTAATAAGGGTTTATCTCTGTCTCAAGTAGTAAAGGCCTAAACAGGACTACTAATAACTTTAACAATTGGATATGAACCCGTTTTAGATGTAAGTGTAGCACAAGTTTGATAATGTGTTTGACTAGTTACAAAGAATTGAAGGACATGAAGGATACTAAGTTAAATTGTAAACAATGGATGTAAAATTTTTGTGATCTCTGGAGGTGAAGCACATCGGTTTTGACCGAACAAGAGACATCTTGAACATGTTTTAATGCATTTTTGTTCGCGTAAATTTAGTATTTGTAACTCTACTTCTTTTACGATAACACCGTGTCAGTATCGTATTGAAAGTTAATATTTTTAGTAGTCAAGCTACATCATTCAAAATGTATAGGCAGTGAATATTGTAACATTGTCACATAGATGAGTACGTCAATAAGTCACTTTGGTAGATGCTAAAAGTCTATAGTTTGGTGGATCAAGAGAAAGTTTTAGCTCACGAGAGATGTCATGTGGGACCCATTGCCGTGCCAAGCACGTGCTTGAGTCACCATATGGTTTCCACTAAAATTGGGAAATATGTGTCAAAATAAATAGGATTGTGGAACAAACCTTAAATATACAAGCACAATCAAAGTCCTAAGGAAAAAATAAGGGTCTCACGCGCGACAGGGTATGTTCGACAACCTAACTAATATTTGAGACACTCGTCACCCGTTTATGGGATTGCATCACATGTGCCTAGGCCTCACATGCATGACCTTACTCTATAAATCTATCTAATAAAGTAGGTAGGAAAGTTTGTTTTGAATTTTTCACGACTCAGATCGCTTGATGATTATTGATTCAACAGTCCTCATACGAAATTTTTCTAAGACTCCTATTTTTTATCTAACTCTCTCTCCCTATCTTATACTAATTGATACAACTCTTTCTCCCCCCATCTCATACTTTCTCTTATCTCTCACACGTTTTAAACACACTTTCTCATCTCTTGAAGGGCTATATATGTATAATAATAACAAAAATACATTTAATACCCATTAAAATTCTAATAACAAGGATTATTTTTAACAAATTATAGGTTCATTAACATATGTCATGAGCTAGGAATTTTATTTAGGGTGAACACTTTAATTACATACTCTAATTTTTTTCCTCCTAACCAATCATACTATATAATATATTTATATTTATTATATCATATTTGATACATGAAGTCTATTTAACATAAAAAAAAAGGCCAAAAAATAATATATATTGTATATGTACACAAAATTGACTAATTATCATCATTATAAAAAAAATAAAGCTGATTGTCATTTTTATAATTAAAAAATATCAGTTATTCATTAACAATCCATTAAATTTATTCAATAAACGATGTTCCAAATATTATCACTAATATTAACATAGTAAAACTATTAAACTAAAATTTAAGAGGTAAACATATTAAAAAAAATAAAAATTGATTGACACATAATAAAGACTATAATCAATATTTTAATAAAAAAAGACAATTTTTCGTAGAAAAAACAAAGTCAAATGAAGATCAAGAACTTTCATTTGCAACAAATTCATAATAAAATGGAGGTTAATTGAAGAAAATCTTATTATAATAAAAATAAATAAATAATTGAAATAAGAAAATTGTAGAGTGAGCACAAGTAAAAAATATGTGTAGAATATATAAATATAAATATACATATCATATTTTTTTAAAACAATTGAGGGTGGGCCCGTGCCCATTCTCACTCATGTGTAGCTCTGTCCATGTATGTCATTCTATATCTATCTATCTATCTATAGAGTAATTCAATTTGAACATAATTTACTGACATAATTTGTTGACCTAATTCACTGTGATTTTTGGATTGACTATAGCTCCCATCAAATATTAAAACTTGGTGTTGATCCAATGATTCTTATGAAGTCACATCATTATGTCAACAAATTAGATCAGATTTTTAGGTCCAAATAACATTACTCCTATCTATATCTATATGATCCTAATTGAATTTTCATTCCTTTTACATCTCTCTCTCCTATCTCTCAGACATTTTAAATATAAACTATCATCTCTCATATAACTCTATCTTTTTATCTACCTCCTACTCACACACACTCTCTCTCTATCCTAAACGCATATAATAATAAAGTAATAGGAGTTTGAGAGTTTGACTTAGACGGCTATAATAATAATAATAATAACAAAATACATCTAACGTTATTCCAAGTTTAAATGAGAAAGATTAACGTTAATCTCCTCGAAATTGGTGAGGAGATTAACCTAGTATATTTATTTGTTTAAAACATTAAGATTTGAATGAGACATTATGTCTCAAAGTGATCTATTTGAAGTGATTAAATCAATTAAGATTGGTGTAGTGGAATAAAGCTTGACCCATATTAGAAGAAGATCAACACTTTGATGAGTTAATATAATTATAGTTGGCTTCATGGGTTAGGCCCAAAGGGGTACCACACTTTTGTAAGTAGAGTGAGCGCTTACACTACCTTAGTTATCACCCGCCTTGCCACGCCTACTACTCGGGCAGGACTTGAGTCAAAAAAATCTTATATTTTTTTATCAAAATTTGTTTGGAGCAGTGCGGTTATGGGTTGAACCAAACGGATCCGAACATGGATTGTATTCCAACTAATATGTAAAAGTCTAACCAGATTTTAAATTTCTACCCATTAAATTGATTTTGGCACCAGAGTTTGTTCTGAAAAGGTTTCTTCTGTGTCTGTTCAATACAGAGATGTCTTTCCATTTCGCTTCTGTTCAGATTGAGGGTGTGTCTCTTCGATCCGAATAGAGGCGTCTTGTGACTCTTCAGGTGATCCAAACAGGCATGAAGGGTCTATAAATCGACTGCCTCATTGTCATTTCAATTCATCCCATTCTGGATTCTAGTTTCAGAATTTCTTCTCTCTTTTTGCGTATTGCTGCATTATTTTTGGTTCAGTTCAAGTATAAGCACAAGTTGTGTTCGTTGGAGTCTTGAAGGTTGAAGTGCTACTTCTTCAAGAATGTAAAATTTGTTCTATCTCAGGAGACATTTGCTTATTGACCTTGAGCACTGAGAGGGAACAAATCTGTCTTAAAGATATTGTGTTTCACAAGGCTTGGATTGAAATTCTGATTTTTTATTTATTGTTCATGTAGATATGTGTCACTATGAGTGCACTATTTTTGCTTATTGTATAAGTTAGACTTCATACAATTCAATATAATCTAATTATATACCTATTTTTCATAACAATGGTAAGACAGATTTGATTTATAATTATCTTAAGTATTGTTATAATTCTAAAACAGATTTTTCTATTATGTTACTATTTTACCTTCATTAGTTATTATACTTATTAGAATTGTTTATTTTATTAAACTGTTGATTTTAGTGTTAAATTATTGTTTATGTTTGTTTAACAGAAATGACATCAACAAGTTCTGTTCCTACAACCATGAGTTTGTCTCATGGAGAGAAAC